TGAGAGATTACTACAAGCAACTCTATGCCAATAAAATGGACAACCTGGAAGAAATGGACAAATTCTTAGAAAAGCACAACCCTCTGAGACTGAACCAGGAAGAAAGAGAAAATATAAACAGACCAATCACAAGCACTGAAACTGAAATGTGATCAAAAATCTTCAAACAAACAAAAGCCCTGGACCAGACGGCTTCACAGGCGAATTCTATCAAACATTTAGAGAAGAGCTAACACCTATCCTTCTCAAACTCTTCCAAAATATAGCAGTGAGGAATACTCCCAGACTCATTCTATGAGGCCACCATCACCCTGATACCAAAACCAGACAAAGATGCCACAAAAAAAGAAAACTACAGGCCAACATCACTGATGAACATAGATCCAAAAATCCTCAACAAAATACTAGCAAACAGAATACAACAGCATATTAAAATGATCATGCACCATGATCAAATGGGGTTTTTCCCAGGGATGCAAGGATTCTTCAATATACGCAAATCAATGTGATACACCATATTAACAGATTGAAGGAGAAAAGCCATATGATCATCTCAATAGACGCAGAAAAAGCTTTCGACAGAATTCAACAAGCATTTATGATTCAAACCCTCCAGAAAGTACGCATAGAGGGAACTTACCTCAACATAATAAAGGCCATATATGACAAACCCACAGCCAACATCGTTCTCAATGGTGAAAAACTGAAACCATTTCCACTAAGATCAGGAACAAGACAAGGCTGCCCACTCTCACCACTCTTATTCAACATAGTTTTGGAATATTTAGCCACAGCAATCAGAGAATAAAAGGAAATAAAAGGAATCCAAATCAGAAAAGAAGTGAAACTGTCACTGTTTGCAGATGACATGATACTATACATAGAGAATCCTAAAGATGCTACCAGAAAACTATTAGAGCTAATTAATGAATTTGGTAAAGTAGCAGGATACAAAGTTAATGCACAGAAATCTCTTGTAATCCTATATAATAATGATGAAAAATCTGAAAGAGAAATTAAGGAAACACTCCCATTTACCACAGCAGCAAAAAGAATAAAATACCTAGGAATAAACCTACTTAAGGAGACAAACGACCTGTATGCAGAAAACTATACAACACTGATGAAAGAAATTAAAGATGATACAAACAGATGAAGAGATATACCATGTTCTTGGATTGGAAGAATCTGCATTGTGAAATTGACTATACTACCCAAAGCAATCTACAGATTCAATGCAATCCCTATTAAACTACCAATGGCATTTTTCACAGAACTAGAACAAAAAATTTCACAGTTTGTATGGAAACAAAAAAGACCCCAAATAGCCAAAGCAATCTTGAGAAAGAAATACAGAGGTGGAGGAATCAGTCTCCCTTACTTCAGACTATACTACAAAGCTACATTAATCAAGGCAGTATGGTATTGGCACAAAAACAGAAATATAGATCAATGGAAGAGGATAGAAAGCCCAGAGATAAACCCACATACATATGGTCACCTTCTTTTTGATAAAGGAGGCAAGAATATACAATGGAGAAAAGACATCCTCTTCAATAAGTGGTGCTGGGAAAACTGGACAGCTACATGTAAATGAATGAAATTAGAACACTCCCTAACACCATACACAAAAGTAAACTCAAAATGGACTAGAGACCTAAATGTAAGGCCAGACACTATAAAACTCTTAGAGGAAAACATAGGCAGAACACTCCATGACATAAATCACCGCAAGATACTTTCTGACCCACCTCCTAGAGAAATGGAAATAAAAACAAAAATAAACTAATGGGACCTAATGAAACTTCAAAGCTTTTGCACAGCAAAGGAAACCATAAACAAGACAAAAACACAACCCTCAAAATGGGGGAAAATATTCACAAATGAAGCAACTGACAAAGGATTAATCTCCAAAGTATACAAGCAGCTCATGCAGCTCAATATCAAAAAAACAAACAACCCAATCCAAAAATGGGCAGAAGACCTAAACAGACATTTCTCCAAAGAATATATACAGATTGCCAACAAACACATGAAAGGATGCTCAACATCACTAATCATTAGAGAAATGCAAATCAAAACTACAATGAGGTATCACCTCACACCAGTCAGAATGGCCATCATCAAAAAAATCTACAAACAATAAATGCTGGAGAGGGTGTGGAGAAAAGGGAACCCTCTTGCACTGTTGGTGGGAATGTAAATTGATACAGCCACTATGGAGAACAGTATGGAGGTTCCTTAAAAAACTACAAATAGAACTACCATACGACCCAGCAATCCCACTACTGGGCATATACCCTGAGAACACCATAATTCAGAAAGAGTCATGTACCACAATGTTCACTGAAGCTCTATTTACAATAGCCAGCACATGGAAGCAACCTAACTGTTCATCGATAGATGAATGGATAAAGAAGATGTGGCATATATATATAATGGAATATTACTCAGCCATAAATAGAAACAAAATTGAGTTATCTGTAATGAGGTGGATGGACCTAGAGACTGTCATACAGAGTGAAGTAAGTCAGAAGGAGAAAAACATATACTGTATGCTAACACATATATATGGAATCTAAAAAAAAAAAAAAAGGTTATGAAGAACCTAGGGGCAGGACAGGAATAAACACGCAAACGTAGAGAATGGACTTGAGGACACTGGGAGGGGGAAGGGTAAGCTGGGACAAAGTAAGAGAGTGGCACGTACGTATATACACTACCAAATGGAAAATAGCTAGTGGGAAGCAGCTGCATAGCACAGGGGTATCAGCTGGGTGCTTTGTATCCACCTAGTGGGGTGGGATAGGGAGGGTGGGAGGGAGATGCAAGAGGGAGGAGATATGGTAATATATGTATATGTATGGCTGATTCACTTTGTTATAGAGCAGAAACTAACACACCATTGTAAAGCAATTATACTCCAATAAAGATGTTTAAAAAAGTAAATAAATAAATCTTCCTCATAAAAAAAAAGGTAAGGAAAAAGTGGAATACCCAAGTGCCTAAGGCCTGACATGAGAGCAAACATAATCCATTTGAGGGACAAACAGATGAATATGTCTGGACTGCAATGAATGAGGGGATGAGTATATGAGAAGAGGCAGACAAGAGGAAATCCAGGGTAGATCTAGGTTTTAATGGAGATTGAAGTTTATAAACTGGGGGAAGAGAATACAAAACTATAAAAACAAAATTAAGTCCTAAATTGAGTATTTCTTCAGAATGAGAAAGAAAACTACATTAAATTACAAAATTTTAATAGTTCTCAAGCACATCAAACAATCCTAACATAATATTTTAAATAATTAACTCCCTGGCACACCTTCATAATAATTTTTCCTACATATCTTGGCTGTATTGCACTTGACTGTCTCTTCATGACAATGATTTTGTAATATCATTTTCTAGAGTCATCAGAGAGAACAGTTCAGTCTTTCACCTAGAATAGAGGGTGAAAATTTATTTTTTATAATTGATAGTTTAGAAAAGTTTCTTTCAGCTTCACAATTGCCTGTTGATGACGCTCACTCTGTCCCAGCTTAAATACTTCAAATTATTGAATTTGTGAAAACCTCTTCTACATTTCTTTCATGAGTTCTAAGATTAGAAGAATGTTTAACAAACTTTAAAATGGACATCTTGGTTTCTCCTCCATTACCCACATTCTTCCAGTCCTGACTGGGTGTCACGGTACAAGTTCATATCACTATTCAGCCTCTGGCCTTGTACCTTCATGTGAGGATCCCAGGTGGTAAGCATTCTTAAACTGGGTCAACCCGCAATAACTAAACTATATGTGAAAGGTACTGCAAATCACATAAATGTACCAACACATCTCTCCTTAGGATTCCAAAACTCCCTATGTCCACTCCAACATAACCTGCAAGGATGCAGAGTGTGACAGGGAGGAAGTCAAAGTATAAAACTATGGTGGCCTTAACCAATTTAGGTCCCGTCCAGGAAACAGCCTGCACAAGCAAGAGACCTCAAGCTTTAATTAGCTTCATGGTAACTCTACCTCTGTCCAGATCATTCTGAGCCTTAAAGATTATTGATAGCAGTTTGGTTGTTTTTTCTTCTGTAAGAGACAAGAAACCGGTAGAATTTTCACCGAGAGATTTGAATTATGTTTAAACAAGTACACACTGAGAAATGTACTGACCTAAGGCTATCCTCTAACCCTGCTCAAAAAGGGGTACTCAAGCACGAAGTAGACCAAAATTATCCTTTCATATTCTGAAACTTTGTGTTTCCTCTTTCTCCCCATCTCTGGATTTGAAATCCCAGGATATACAAATCCAGTCATCCCACTATTTCCCCTACAATAACCTCTGCTTGAAAAGAAAAGTAATAATTTCTCAACTTACAAGTTTATAATTAAAGAGTATAATAGGGCTTCCCTGGTGACGCAGTGGTTGGGGGTCCGCCTGCCGATGCATGGGGCACAGCTTCGTGCCCCGGTCCGGGAGGATCCCGCATGTTGCGGAGCGGCTGGGCCCGTGGGCCATGGCCGCTGGGCCTGCGCGTCCGGGGCCTGCGCTCCGCGGCGGAGAGGCCGCGGCAGTGGGAGGCCCATGTACCGCAAAAAAAGAAAGGAAAAAAAAAAAGAAAAGAATATAATAGCTATATGAATGTAATTTTAAAAAGCAAAATACTCAGTTACTGAATATTCTCTCTCCTACAGCTGTTTTGGGAATGAAGGCACTTTCCCAGCTGTATAGCCTCAATTCTGACAGCCTGGCCTCTCCATCAATCAACTCCAGGAGACCTCCTTTCTGCTTAAATTAGCAAAATTTAACTAGTAACTTAGTTTTTACAAACAATTAATAATTCTGTATCTAACAGATAAGTATTCAATAAGCAAATAAGACCAAACCAGTCAATCATGAACCCTGAAGTTATTAAAAGCATTGGGGGTAGAGTTGTCAAAAATGATTAGACGCTATTGAACCAGAAATGCTGGAGGGTGACAGCATTCCTCAGCCCTTGAAACTCACCCATAGTCTCCTGTTCTGCCCTTTGATCCAGGCTTTGGAGAACAGTGTCATGAGAGTAGTACAGCAACTTTTCACCACACAAAATACTCCTGCTACTGAAATGCAAAAGAAATAGAAGCTGCAAAGAAAAGGAAATTAAGGAATGTAAAAAGGGGGAGGGGCACATAGGAACTGATTTGAGAACAAAGTGTAATATAACACATACAGAAGAGCATAATTCAGACAGATATATAAATTTAGGAGTGGGAGACAGAATAAAAGCAGTGTTGGATTAGCACTGGGAAACATCACACACAGATTCCATCACCTGACAAATAGTTACTGATCATTTACTTCATGTGTATCTAAGCTAGATGAGCAGTGGGAATGGAAAAAACACTGATGAACATTACGGAAAAATTAGGCAGTATTTGGTTATAGGCATTGGGGTTATGGTTGGATAAGACAAAGGAAAAGGTCAATAATAACTGTGGTCTCATGTCTAAGTGCTAGAAAAGCGGTAAAACAGTATAATCAAATAGAAAAGCTGGGAGGTATAACTACTTTGGAAGAAATGGTTAGTCTGCTTTCAGACAGGCTGAATTTGAGATAACAGGTAGCATTTTTCATATTAATTACTAATTCCCATTTCCACTTAACTAATTCAATCAAAAGAATCAAGCCCTTCATCCAACTATAAAGGATTAAGATGCATAAACAGAGAATCTGCAGCAAATGCTAGACTTCTGAGACGTATTCAAAGGCATGGGCTAGATAAGAATATTACATGAGTCCACTGTTTCACAAAAGGTGTCCCATGACACATTAATCATCCTCTTTCTGAACATGCTACTGCCACTATCTGTCACATCCTCCCATCCCCTCAGATCCCACCTGAGAAGTTTCATGAGAAAAAAAATTGTGTCACAAGGAATTTTTTCAGACTCTCACAAACTATAATTACTTTTTGGAATTCTACAATGTACACTTTTGAGAACGCTACTAAGGAAACCTTCTATTTTGTTTAGTCCAGGTATTTCCCAAACTTATTCAAAAGCAGAAATCTATTTTTGAGGAATACCTACCCATAATGACTTTGGGAAATGGTACACAGATAGTAAGCTACTTGAGGGCAGAGAATTTCTTATTAATCTTTGCCTATTCACCGTACCTAACTTGATATGAAACACACGGGAAACAATGTGTGCTGAAACAAACAACTACTTATAGGGTTTATGTGAAAGCCACATACTTTGGTCCTTTTCTAAAATCTGTTCCAAAATACTAAGGATCATCCTAGGTTTTTTACAAAAATTCTTCATATACTTCATAAAATCTCTACCATAAATTAATCATATGAGTATATTATCCCAATACCACTGGATATAAGCTTACTTTTTTTTGCTTCCAAAATTAAGTCCACCCTCAACACACCTGAAGACACCTCTGACGCATAACAATAAATAACTCAAAATAGAGTATTAAGTAAAATGGCTTCATAAAAACTGTGAAGTAATATGTAACAGCAAACTACTATTCCACATACTCATTAACGTATGAGAACTGGATGAAAAACATACGCTTTATATTAATGACAAGAATTAAAATAAGAAAAAGAAGTAGTGAAGAAATCTTTTTCCCTTACCTCCTAATCAATTCAGGTAAACCTAAATAGTCACTTATTCCAGTCTCCTTCCCACAATAAGGAGAAGAGGAAGAAAAACATTCTGCCACTGGGTGGGGGAAAGAACAAAGTGTGCCCCTCCAGGCTTCATTCAGTAGCTCAGGGCCAAATGAATCAACATGTTTATCTACTAATACAGCTGAGCTCACTTTACAGTATTATGCACTTGAAAGGAAATGAACTTTTTAAAAATGAAACTAGTACAAATGAGAAAGTTTTCTTTTTTGTTTCTACAAATTTAGTTAAGCTCTTTGTTTATAAAGACCAAAATTACAGAATAAATCTTTCGTTGTGTCAAAATGTTTACTCCAAACTGAAGAAGATTTGAGGAAACTCAGGCTCTAAAACATATGATCTAAGGGTCAAGGACAGTCTGACTTCTTAGTTCTGCCAGCAGTTTTTAAAACTTGCTTCCTGTACTAGGGAATGTTCACTGTTCTTGCACAAACAATAATAAAAGTCATTTATACAACCACCTTGGTTATTTTTTCCTTTCATTTTAGATTCACTGTTTTATAAGAGCAAAGGCTACAGTTAATTCTAGTAAGTATTTTGAGTTTTTATTTACCACTATATTTCTACTTATTTAATATTTCTTGGGAAACAATATGAATTTATTAGTTTATTCAAAAATACATCCTGAATGTCAATTATGTGCCAGACATAATAGATGAAGGTCAGCAAAAGAAATGTGGTTACTGCTCTCCAAGAGCTTTCAATCCAGCTGGGAAAAAAGATACTATAAAATCAGATATCTATATATAAATATATATATATACACACACACACACACACACACACACACAAATATAAAATGCAGACTATGAGAAGAAAAAACCACCACGGAAACAAATAACATGATCTAGCCTGGGGGTTGCTTTGGTAGTGACAACTGAACTAAAATTAGCATAACAAACATTAAACATGATTTAAAACAAACACATACACACACATATCCCAAATCATGCTAGGAATAAAAATGTCCACGACTGTCGGGAGGAAAGGGTTTATAGGGGCAATGGTATAATCTATATGACATCGAAAAAAATAACAGTGATAGCTTCATGTGAACAGCACTAACAGATCATTTATCTCTGTAGGAAGCAAAACAATGGCTAGTCCTGGTATATTTCCAGTCAAAAATAGGTTTTATAGCCAGAACTATTTTCCAATGAAAAAGCCAAACATCAGCTATTAATCTAGTTATTATAATCTCCAATAATCTCAAGTCTTCCAAACAATTATATTGAGTTCGTAACAATACATGTATCCCAAGCCTTAACACCTCACAAAACCCAGGTCGCAAAAAGACAACTTCAGCTTCACAGATCACAGGATCATATGATATTAGAGCAGAAACAAATTTCTAGATGTTACCTTACGATAAAACACTTTCACTTTTCAAATCAAACATGAGACCCAAAGTGGGGAAGTAACATATACAACCATCATTCATCTAGTTAGTAAGGAAGCTGACTAGACCCTGGATCTCCTGAGTCCCAGTCCTATGCTCTTTCTACGGCATTACAACAGCAAGTATATCAAATGACAAGGAACACACGTGTTGCAAATAAATAAGGAAAAGTTTAAAAACACAGGAATTCCATTTCAAAAATGTTACATACCTTCAATTGACACGCAGTTCCCTTAAGTCCCTCTTAATGTTCCCTCTTACTACATACCTCAAGGGTAAAAGTGAAGGAAACTACGAACATTTACTGACCCTATAGGGTCCAGGAGCTAGGTTGAGTGATTTTATCTATTTTAATTTCACTTAAGTCATTACAACTACCCTCTGGGTAGGATATTATTAATCTCATTTTACTGATTTAGATTTTATTTAGATTCAGAAACACTAAATAACTTACTCAAGGTTACACAGCATAAAAATGGTAGAGGCAGGATTTGAATTCAAATCTGTATGACTCTAAATCCACGTAGCCACTTTACCACAAAAAAGTAATTTTTCACAGGAAAATATTATACAAAACAGTTCAGTCTCCTGGAGCACTCACCAATGTCCATTTAACTACTGAAGAAAAGTTTTTTAAGTTTGGTCTGGGAATCTCATAACCATTTACTACATTATTTTACAAGGAAGAACCAAGTTTTAAACAACTACTTTACGAGCAAAATTTAGAGCACATTCTTAGATTGAATATTGTTTGTATTTTCTTTTCAGCATCCTTTTCAATATCACTGTCACTGCCACCCAGAAAAGCATCAGCTATCCATTCCTATGAAATGTTGGTTCACGAATAGGGAGAAGGGTACAACGCATGACCACTTAAGAGAACCACATGAAAACAAAAACTACATTTTAATAATTCTGATTTCTCCACTGGTGGATAACCCATTAACAGCTCCAATCAGGAGAGAGTATACTACTCAAAAAATAAGAACTGGTAGTGCAAATAAAGCAAAGCACAACATAATTGAAAAAAGACTGACTTCTGATTGCACAACTACCCATATCACAGAACTAAGTTTCTGCTTTCCCAGCTCTGCAAAATCTACATCAGGTACTCAGCTTCTGATAGTTGATATCTTCTTTCTGCTGTCATCTCTCATCCAGTTCTCTTTACCCTCATGGATTTATGTTTTAGTTTTCTCTATCATTTTAGTAGGGAGAGAAACAGGTGTCTTCTCTGATAATAATAGTAGAGGATTTTTTTTTAGGTTTTTTTTTGATCCCTATGGTGTCTGTTTTCTTCCAATACTCCAAGTATCACTCCCCTCCTCCACCCCTTTATTTCTGTTTGCTTATTTTGACCTCTCTTTTTTTATGGAGGCTTTCCCCAAATGTCTGATGGTCCTGGATTCTTAGTTCATAGTTAAGAATGACGTTCTGAAAAGAATTGACTGAAAGATCTGTGTGGGGGAATAGGCTTGTCAACAGGTGTAATTCACTCTGGGGGCTCTTGTGGCGAGCCTACCAGTACCTTAAGATAGTTCAGTTTTCTGCAGGAGATGAGCTGGATAAACTGTGAAGTTCTGGAAGGAGAAAAGAGGAAGCAAGCTAGAAGTTCCAGAGTTTGGATGTACATTTCCCTTAATCTTCCTGTTTTAAATAATCAGCCATCCACTGCCCCTGGTTTCAAAATGCAGGCACCTCTTCAATTTTATAAAGAATAAACCTTGGTCTACTGAGGCCAGGATTGGTGGTGGAGGCAGTCACCTACCTATAAGGATACACAGAAAGAACCTATAAACGTACCTATTTTCTGACCAATCTCCGTTTTCAGCTCCACTTCTGACCTCAACTTTCCTTAGTATCTGGTGCCTCCCAATGCTGAGCCTCTTGGGAGCTTCAGAAAGACACAATACAGATAACCCTTGAATACATGAGCTTAACTGCACGAATCCACTTATACACAGATTTTTTTCACTACATAAGTACTATAGTGCAACATGATCTGTAGCTGGTTGAATCTGTGGATACAGAACTCCAGATATGGAGGGCTGACTGTGATGTTATACATGGAGTTGCAACTGCATGGGGGTCCCCTGTGTTGTTCAAGGGTCAACTGTATTACACCTCTTACAGGTATTGTGCACTTACAGGCATTGTAACTTTTCCTTTCTGCTAATCAGTTACTGCCTGTCCATCTGCTTTCTGATTTCAAAAAATCAGCTATTTCTGACTCCTGCTGTATCTCATTCAGCAGGAAATGGAGAGTTACCGTCTAAAGCAGCAGTCCCCAACCTTTTCAGCACCAGGGACTGGTTTCGTGGAAGACAACTTTTCCACGGACCGGGGTGGTGGGGGGGGGGTGGAGGCGGGGGGGGGGGGGGGAGTCAAGCGCATTACATTTATCGTGCACTCTATTTCTATTATTAATGCATTGTAATATATAATGAAATAATTATACAACTCACCATAATGCAGAATCAGTGGGAGCCCTGAGCTTGTTTTCATTTGCCACTCACTGATACGTATTTTGTTTTGTTTTTGTTTTTTTAATTAATTTATTTATTTATCTTTGGCTGTGTTGGGTCTTCATTGCTGTGCACAGGAATCCTCTAGTTGCAGCGAGCAGGGGCTACTCTTCGTGGCGGTGCGCGGGCTTCTCATTGTAGTGGCTTCTCTTGTTGCGGAGCACGGGCTCTAGGCACACGGGCTTCAGTAGTTGTGGCTCATGGGCTCTAGAGTGCAGGCTCAGTAGTTGTGGCTCACGGGCTTAGTTGCTCTGTGGCATGTGGGATCTTCCCGGACCAGGGTTCAAACCCATGTCCCCTGCACTGGCAGGCAGATTCTTAACCACTGCACCACCAGGGAAGTCCCACAGATAGGGTTTTGACATGAGTCTGCAAGCAACTGATTTATTATGGTCTCTGTGCAGTCAAACCTCTCTGCTAATGATAATCTGTATTTGCAGCCGCTCCCCAGTGCTGGCATCACCGCCTCAGCTCCACCTCAGATCATCAGGCATTAGATTCTCATAAGAAGCGCGCAACCTAGATCCCTCACATGCGCAGTTCACAGTAGGGTTCGTGCTCCTATGAGAATCCAATGCCGCTGCTGAACTGACAGGAGGCGGCGCTCAGGCGGTAATGCGAGCGATGGGAAGAGGCTGTAGATACAGATGAAGCTTTGCTCGCTAGCCCACTGCTCACCTCCTGCTGTGTGGCCCTGTTCCTACCAGGCCACAACCAATACCGGTCTGTGGCCCGGGGGTTGGGGACCCCTGGTTTAAAGAGTATAGTCATCCCTCGGTATCCACAGGGTTCCAGGACCCTCACAGATACCAAAATCTGTGGATGCTCAAGTCCCTTATATAAAATGACATAGTATTTGCATACAACCTATGCATACACTCCCATATACTTTAAATCATCTGTAGATTACTTATAATATCTGAAATGATACATATGCTATGTAAATAGCTGCCAGCACAAGACAAATTCAAGCTTTGCTTTTAGAAACTTTCTGGAATTTTTTTTTTTCCAACATATTTTCAATCTGTGATTGGCTGAATCCACAGATGCAGAACCTTTGGACATGGAAGGAGCCAAGTGTACAAAGTTTCAGTTTTGCAAGATAAAAATAGTTCTGGAGATGGATGGTGGTGACAGCTGTACAGCAATGTGAATATACTTAATGCCACTGTATATGCTTAAAAATGGTTAAAATGGTCAATTCTATGTTATGTAGATTTTACCTCAATTTTAAAATATAATTTTTAAAAAGCAAGGTTTAAAAAAAACTTACTTCCTGAAAGTCTCCTTCCAAGATCACCGTCTGCAAAGTTATCTCTCTCTCCCCCACCAGGGTAACTCTAGTTTTCATAGTACATACCATGGTTTACTTTCTTTGTAGCACTTATGGCTGTATGAAATTATCCTGTTTTTTTAACTACTTATTTATTATCTCTGTCCTTCAATTAGAGAGTAGGCACCTGGGCCACCTTCTGACATCACCTACACATTATGGTAATAAGACAATGGTAGGAAAGCAATCAATAAACATTTGGTAGGGGACTTCCCTGGTGGTCCAGTGGGTAACACTCTGCACTCCCAATGCAGGGGGCCCAGGTTCAATCCCTGGTCAGGGAACTAGATCCCACATGCATGCCGCAACTAAAAAGTCCACATGCTGCACCTAAGATTCCAGCGCAGCCAAAATAATAAATAAATATTTAAATATTAAAAAAACATTTCATGCATAAATTAATTGGTTTCTGGGTCCTAACCCAGACCCCTTGAATGAGAATCCTGGGTTCTCAGACACTGATTTATAAACACAGAAAACTTGCTAGTTATGACACAGTAGCACCCCTCCCTCCAGTTAGAACAATTTGACACATCTGACCCTTAAAACAGATACTCTTTTTTCTTACCAATGAAGACCCATTTGCTTTTGTTTGGAGGACTAAACAACAGGGAAGTTACGGATAAAAGGAGTTTCTAATTATTTTCATATAGGAATATCAGACAACATAGTCAGTATAATTCCTTTAATTCTTTTTAAATGATTTTAGCACATATGCCTATTAGAAGAGCTTCCAGATCATAAAGATGTTTACTGATCTATTTTATTATGTAATTCAAACATCAGGGTAGCAAAACAAACAAAAAACCAACCCTCTTTTCTATTTGTGTACTTGATATTATCTAACTTCCTACAGGAATTTGTTCTACCATCTTCTCTCTCTTGTCCTTTAATCTCACCTTGCCAGTTCTTAGCTCACTCCTAGACAGCAAATATATTCATCTCATCTCCTCACTATAAAAAATAGTCACTTGATCATACAACAAACTCAAGCTACCATCTTCTCTAATCCCCTTCACCACATCAAGCTTCCTAGAAGACTACTTTCTCATTTCCCATTGATTCCTCAACCTTCAACTCCAAGGCAACTAATAAGGCTGTCAACCCCTTAACACAGCAATTGCCCTCTCAGCAGTGACCAATGAGCTCCCCTCTTTCTGATACTCATCATATTTCCCTATCTGTTTAAGTTCTGCTCCTCCTATCAGATGACTTAAATTCTTTTCATCCTTAAAAAAACCCAGACAGTTCTGGGTGCGAGCCTGGCTTTAACACTTGCTACACTTTTCTGAGCTGGTTGACTCAGGGGCTGGTCTGTCTCCCTAAGGCATGAGTGCAGGCAATACTTATTCATCTTTATATCCCTGAGCTCAAATGGCACATAGCAGACTCTCAGTAAGGTTTGTGGGAGGGCAGGAAGAAAGGACAAAGGGGAGGGGTGGGAAGGGAGAACAAGGGAGAATGAGGGGAAAGATGATACAGGAAAACAGTTATACTTAACCTTTTTATCCCTAAGTACAAAGCAGAAAAATTAACCATAATGGAGCCTCAATGTTTGGTAAATCTAACTGAACGCCTACATACTACCTTATTTAATAGTTTTGTTTTATTCAATTTCATTAAATATTTACATTTAAAATTCTAAGAACTGTACATTTACCTTAAAGGTGTGGTTGTAAAAATCAAACTGTTAACTACAGTTGCAGACAATAATAAATTCATAGTTCTAGAAATTATTAGTCAGTGAAGCAAAAATATACTTTAGCATTCCTTAACTTCCAGATGGGATAAAGGGGGACAGAGCTAGGCTGGAGTCAATATGATATGAGGTAGAAATAGGACAACATTAAAATATGGCAATAAGGTAGGTTAAAAAAAAGCAAGCTCCATAAATTCCCTACCTAAAATTAACTTTTAGATCTATGAAGAAACTGTCATAAATAAGTTGATAGCTTTTTAAAAGCCTTTTCAAAAGTGTGATTTCTGTTACTTAAGGAAAAAGAAGATATCCCTAAATTTAAAAACAAAGTACATGTAAACAAACTGCTTTAAATAAATGCTCTTTCACTATATTTCAAGAGAAAACTGTCTAATACTTCGGGGCACTTATTAAACAGTGAAAAGGAAAATACCTCTTTCTAGTTAAAAAGAGGATGAGGATAATTAGAGGAAATAAATCAATTTCAACAAATTTTAATTCCTACTCTCTGCCATATCTCCAAGTTTCTATTCCCTTTACTTGCTTTTTCTCCAGAGTTCTGTCCTCCCCCTCTTCCCTTAAGCATATTCGCAAAGCGTTCTTGTGTCACAAGACATAATAGCTAGGAGTACACCCTTTAGGACCAGTGTGCCTGCATCTGAATCCTGACCCCATGACTTACTAGGTGTGTAATCTTAAGACTTAACCTCTCTGTACCTCAGCTTACTCATTTTTAAAAAAGAAAGATAAAATAGTACCAACCTCACAGGGTTGAATGCTGCCTGGCACATAATAAGTGGTTCAAAAGTGTTAGCTAGAGGGGGACCAAAAAATTTATCATCCAAACCAGGGCACTTCTGAGATTTAAAGAGAAGACTATAAATAATCCCACTGGAGCAACAGGACATAAACCAGAACTGTCCCAGGCAAATCAGGACAGAGTAATCCAATTAGTATAAGATGAACTACAAATGTTGATATGCAACCGTTTCTGCCCTACAAATATCACATAGTTAACCTAATATTGTTCACTTCCAGTTAAAAAAACCTACTTATATACCATTATCTCTGAAAGTGGGTTCAGTGGGGGAGAAAAAAAGGGAAAATAGGTCAAAAAGTTTCAGAAACACCAAATTAAACAAAGTTAAACAAGTTTCTTTCCATCTAGCCTACCGAAAAGTCATTGGTATACTAAAGCCTTAATTAATCTTATAGCTTCAATTTTATTTTGCAACTACACAGCTATTATAAAATAAAATTTAAATGAGCCACTGGCTTTTTTTCTTAATATAAAGTATGTTATCTATCTATGTTCACTGCTCTTTTCCTCAGTACCT